CCCCAACCCCAAGGGCTCCTGGGGAGAACCACAGGACTAATTTTGGAATTCCAGTGTTGGATCCCCCAACCCCAAGGGCTCCTGGGGAGAACCACGGGGCTAATTTTGGAATTTCCATGTTGGATCCCCCACCCCAAGTGCTCTTAGGACGAACCACGGGGCTAACTTTGGAATTCCCGTGTTGCATTCCCAACTCCAAGGGCTCTTTCCGTAGGGAAAAGCCGATTTCATGGGCCGGACGTTCGCCAAGCCGGTGGTGAAGATGTCAGATGAGCAGTACTGCCCCCCACGATTCCCACCACAGCTGGAGTATTACCAGATCTACCGCGGCAACGCCACGGCCGGGGACCTGCTGGCCGCCTTCGAGCTGCTCCAGGTGCCAGCTGGACAAAGGGATGGGAAGAATGGATGCAGGGTTGGAAGGGAGAAGGGATTAATTCATGGAGAATTGGGTAACTGGGGATAACTGGGAATAACAGCCCCTTCACCTGGTCATCGGTCTGCTGACGCCTTGTAGTTTCTCTTGGATGGATCAACCACTTGTTGTTCATCAAAGACACCTGGAAATGTCCAAGGTCAGGTTGGATGGGGCTTGGAGCAGCCTGGAAGGGTGGAAGGTGAATTCCAGGGTTGGAATTCAATGGTCTTTAAAGTCCCTCCCAGCCCAAACCATCCCACGATTCACAGTCCAGGGCAATGCCAAAGTTAAACTCTTCCACTTTTGCACCTCGTGTTTTATCCACTGAAATGCTTTTGCTATTGGGTTTATTGCTCCCACATCACATTTCCTCAATGGGGATTTTTTCCAATGAAGCAGAGCCGGGATCTCTGGGCTGCTTTAGGAAGTGTGGTTGATTTCTCTTATCTCCTACACAGGCAGGAACGGTGAGTTCATCTCACAGGTCTTCACTGCCTGGCCCAGAAGTCACAGGACTCCTGATTACAAAACCTTTTATGTGTTTATTAGCCAATAAAACACTGCCAGCAGGAATATTTATGTTTCTAACCCAATACTAAGATATTTCATCTCATTGACTCGCACTCCAGTGTGAGCTTTCTTAGCCAATCATATTATGGCACACAAACCTACAGTGCTGCACTCTAAAAATTCTGGTTACTTTTTAAATCACCTTAAGTATCTTAAAACTTTCATTGCTAAACTTTTATCTATTTAACATGTCTCTGTTTTAGACTACAAATGCACATTCTTGCTTCTAGCACCTAAGTTTGGAAGTCTTCTCCAAGGTCTCAAATCAAATCCTGCGTTTAATTCCAAGCTTTGGCTTACAGGTCTAATGTTTTGAGATTTCCCTGCATTTTGAATTCCAACATTTTCTCATCTCCTTTTTCTCCAAGGCAGGTGCTCCTCCAAGTGTTTTTCCTCCCAGTTTTCCTTGGACTAGGGAAATGGCTCACATGGGATATTTGATCTTTCCCAAGACCTGGTCTGAAAACGGGACCTTAAACCTGCTCCTGAGCTGAGCTCTTGATCACATCTCCATTCCCTCACACACAGCCCCAGCACATGCAATTCCAGGATGGAACAGCCCTGGGATGGGCTACACTGGTGGGCTGAGAAGTTTGGATTGCTCCAGGCACTGTTCTGTGTGGAAGGACAGGAATTCCCTGCACTTTCTGTTCCTGTGTTTTCCTCTTCCCAAAGCAGCTGCCCTGGGCTCTCAGCCCTCTGAGACACCCCAGATCCAACCACTGGCACCAGTTCCAGCTGAGACACAGCCCAGCTCCCTCTGGAATTCATCCCTGCCTATGGCAGGGGTTGCAACGAGTTGATCTTCGATCTCCTTCCAACGCAAACAGATCTGTGATTCCACAATCCTGTGAAAAGGACCAAAAGCTGCTTCCCAGCAGCTCAGAGGAGCAGATCCCAATCCGTGATCCATCTCTTCCAGATCGGCCCTGGGGGTAAATCAGACCTGCCCCCAATCGATGGCCCCACGGAGCTGGACCGAGGTCCCATCCTGCCCGTGCCTCTGGGAATTCGGCCGGTGCTGAGCAGATACAGAGTGGAGGTAACCAATGTCCCTGTGGGGCTTTGCCTGGGGCAGGAGAGCATCTCCAAAGGGGTTGGAAAGGCAGGAGGGAACCGGGAGTCAAGGATCTGTCCATGGTGGCCAGACTGGGAGCCAGGCTGCTGCATCCCTAAAAAAAACCAGGGAATTGGATCATTCCTTGCTGACAAATCTGGGCAGGACAGCGAGTGAGCAGCACCCAGGCTGAGATGAAGCTTAAGGAACATTAGGGATGGACACAGAGCTGGATCATCTGTTCCCAAAGCAATCCCATAGCTCAGCTGTATCCCATCAGCCTCAGGTAACGAGGATGGGATGCCTCTCATGTATCCATGGATATCTAAAAAGGGGATTTTGTATCCAAAATAGTGTGGGCACAACCCAGGGCAGTGCCTGTCCCCTGTGCTGGCACTGCTGGGGCACCTCCAGTGCTGGGGGCAGCTCTGGGCCCCTCCTGACAGGAGAGCCCTGGAGGGGCTGGAGGTGTCCAGGGAAGGGAACGGAGCTGGGCAGGGGCTGGAGCCCCAGGAGAGGCTGAGGGAGCTGGGAAAGGGGCTCAGCCTGGAGAAAAGGAGGCTCAGGGGGGACCTTGGGGCTCTGCACAACTCCCTGACAGCAGGGGACAGCCAGGGGGGGAACAGGGACAGGACAAGGCCCAATGGCCTCAGGCTGGGCCAGGGCAGGCTCAGCTTGGACAGCAGCAGCAATTTCTCCATGGAAAGGGTGCTCAGGCCTTGGCAGGGGCTGCCCAGGGAGCTTTGCAGTGCCCATCCCTGGAGGTGTCACCTGGATGTGGCACCCAGAGCTCTGGGCTGGGGACAAGGAGTGGGGACTGGTGACAGGCTGGACTCGATGATCCTGGAGGGCTTTGCCAAATGATTCCTTGGTGCCATGGATGTGTCCCATGAGGCCCCCTGCCCTTGGAGGTCCTGGTGGACATCCATGACCCAGGCAATGCCCACAGGGATGTTCAGGGCACACCTCAGCCCCGGGTGCAGGTGTCTCTGCTCAGGTGAGGTGCCACTGGCCAAGTCTCCAAAGGGATTTTGGCTCCTGCTTCTCCACACATTTCCATGGTGATAAATGAGCTGTGTTCCTCATAATTTTAATAGAGCCATGTGCACTGAGGAGGTGGGGAAAATCTCTGTTTTGGGGGATTTTTGGATGGTAGCAGTGTGTTATCCCAGGTAGGGACAGGGAAGTTTTCCCAGTGACGCCAATTCCACTGGGATAAAGCGATGGCAGCACTGGATCCAGAGCCACCACAGAGGGACAGAGCTGCTCTGTGGATTCCCAGGGCAGGAAAAGGCCAGGAAGGGAGAAAAGCAGGAAAATGGGTGTTGAGAGCAGCAGACTTTGGGCTGCAGGGTGTCAGGAGGAGATAGGTCAGGGATCCACCACTGCCCTGGGATGACATCGGCAGTGGGATCCATTTCCATGGAGAATCAGCTCCCAGGGATCGTTCCTCTCACATTCAAATGCTCCCTTTTCCTCCTCCTCCTGCCCTAGATCTTATTCTGGGGGCTCAGGGACCTGAAGAGAGTGAACCTGGCCCAGGTGGACCGGCCCCGTGTGGACATCGAGTGTGCCGGGAAGGGCGTCCAGTCTGCCCTGATCCAGAACTACAAGAAAAACCCCAACTTCAGCACTTTGGTCAAGTGGTTCGAGGTGGTGAGTGCAGCCCCTTCCCTCTGATCCTTCAGCTGGAACCCGGAATTTCTGGAGCCCACCACGGCTCCGAAGCCTTTACTCCAGTTTTCCCAAAGCAATGGAGCACATGGACACCATTCCTTTACCTGAGGGCTCCCAAGGCACAATTTGAGGGAGCAGCTCTGGACTTCTTCCTCCAGCATGATCCCATTCCTAATCCCTACTGCCCCTTCCCACCATGATCCCATTCCTAATCCCTTCCCACCATGATCCCATTCCTAATCCCTACTGTCCCTTCCCACCATGATCCCATTCCCAATCCCTACTGTCCCTTCCCATCATGATCCCATTCCTAATCCCTACTGTCCCTTCCCATCATGATCCCATTCCTAATCCCCTTCTCCCCTTCCCACCATGATCCCATTCCTAATCCCTCCTGCCCTTCCCAGCATGATCCCATTCCTAATCCCTTCCCACCATGATCCCATTCCCAATCCCTTCTCCCCTTCCCACCATGATCCCGTTCCCAATCCCTTCTCCCCTTCCCACCATGATCCCGTTCCCAATCCCTGCTGCCCTTCCCACCATGATCCTGTTCCCAATCCCTTCTCCCCTTCCCACCATGATCCCATTCCTAATCCCCTGCTGCCCTTCCCACCATGATCCCGTTCCCAATCCCTACTGCCCTTCCCACCATGATCCCGTTCCCAATCCCTTCTCCCCTTCCCACCATGATCCCATTCCCAATCCCTGCTGCCCTTCCCACCACGATCCCATCCCTAATCCCTTCCCAACCCCCAAACCATTCACTCCCAGCCCTTGACGCCCACCCCTCCTCTGCTTCCCAGGACCTCCCTGAGAACGAGCTGCTGCACCCTCCCCTGAACATCCGCGTGGTGGATTGCCGCGCCTTCGGCCGCTACACCCTGGTGGGCTCCCACACCGTCAGCTCCCTGCGCAGGTTCATCTACCGCCCACCCGACAAGACAGCCCAGCACTGGAACACGGCAGGTACCAGGGCTGGGGCACGGGGAGCTCGAGTGTCCACTTGTGTCCCCTTCTGGTTTAGGAAGGAGGTTGAGACGCTTGAGAGGAGGAAACGAGGAGGGGAGGGGCTGGGAACACAAACCCTGTGAGGAACGGCTGAGGGAGCTGGGGGTGTTCAGCCTGGAGAAAAGGAGATTCAGGGGTGACCTTGTCACTCTCTACAGCTCCCTGAAAAGTGGTTGTGTCAGGTGGGGTTGGTCTCTTTCTCCAGGCAGCACTGACAGAACCAAAGGACACAAAGCTATGCCAAGGGAAATATAGGCTGGATATTAGGAAGAAGTTTTTCATGGGAAGAATAATAAAGTACTGGAATGGTCTGCCCAGGGAGGTGGTGGAGTGACCATCCCTGGGTGTGTTTAGAAAAAGACTGGATGCCGTGGTCTAGTTGAGGTGTTAGGGCATGGGTTGGACTTGGTGGTCGTGGAGGTCTCATCCAACCCAGTGATTCTGTGATTCTGTGATCTCTGGGGAGAAGAGGGAGGTGGGATGGGCTGTGAGGACCATGAGAATGTTGGCTAACCCACAGAACCTCTGGGTTTGGGTCCAGCCTTATCCAGAACTCCGAGAAAAACCCCAATTTCAGCACTTTGGTGGTTCCAAGTGGTGAATCTCCTCTTCCCTCCAAGCCCTCAGCTGGAGCCCAGGATTCCTGCAGCCCAAACCGTGGCTCTGAGCCATTTCCTGTGGTTTCCTCACAGGCATGAGGAGCCACAGGGTACAACCCATGACTTCCTGTTGGTTTTTTGATCCGTGCATCTTGCCTGCTCCTCCAATTCCTGTAAGACAAGAAAGGTTCAACTCCAACATCTCTGCAGCTTCAGGACTCGAGTGCCCAAATGTTCCTCAGGACTGGGACAGGATTTGGCCACACTCTGCCCGTGGTGGCTGTGAAGAGCAGAGGTCCAGGCCCCTCTCAATCCCAACGACCCCAATCCATCAGCACCTGCAGGAAAACCCACCCCAGACCCACTTCCCACCCATCCCAGCAGCTGAGGGCTTGGGAGCCATGGGAATTACTCCTCTCCTCCCAGCTTTGGGGCTGGAGGCTGGGCGAGATTCCCAAAGCCACCTCTGGTTCCATCCACCTGGGCCAGGGGTTGTGTCTGAGCCAAGGGAAGCTTTCAGGGCAATCTTCTCTGCCTCTGCTCCTCTGAATATTTCCTGCTTATCTTCCACCTTCCTTTGCTCCAGGTGGGATTTTGGTCCTAAAATGCTGAAGGCTCAGTGCTCATTTCCACTGCTCCATACAAGGTGGTCCCACAGTGCTCCTAAATCCAGTAGGATCTCACCTGAGCTCTCAATTTCTGGCCTCAATCCTGTAGGATCTCACCTGAGCTCTCAGTTTCCAGCCTAAATCCTGTGAGATCTCACCTGAACTCTCAGTTTCTGGCCTCAATCCTGTAGAATCTCACCTAAGCTCAGTTTCTCGTCTGAATCCTGTAGGATCTCACCTGAACTCTCCATTTCTGGCCTCAGTCCTGTAGGATCTCACCTGAACTCTCAACTTCTCACCTGAATCCTGTCGGATCTCACCTGAACTGTTGGTTTCTCCTCTCCACTGTCCCTCTCCCCTGTTCTTTCTCCTTTTCTGTCCTCTCTCCAGCCAAACACCTCAACGGGTACCTGGCCATGACCAGCAGGGCCCATCGCTCTCGCCCCACAGGGGAGATCGTTGTCAACATGGAACCCGAGGTTCCCATCAAGAAGATGGACACGATGGTGAAGCTGGAAGCTGTGAGTATCCGTGTGGCAGCACCTCTTTCCTCACGGAATTGCCGATTTCTGAGGGATTTCAGCCTGAATTGGGCAGGCAGCGTGTCCCAGGGGTGTCAGGTTGTGTCACACTGAATGTGCCTGTGCCCGTTTTTGTGCCCAGGATGGGAATTTCAAACTCTTCCTCCCACCCTTCTGCTCCAGATCTTCCTCCACAAAAACAGATTCCTGTCAAGTTTCTCCAAGGGCTGGAGCCCCTCTGCTCTGGAGTCAGGCTGGGAATGTCCAACTGGAGAAGGGAAGGATCCAGGGAGAGTTCAGAACCCCTTGCAGGGCCTGAAGGGACTCCAGGAGAGCTGGAGAGGGACTGGGGACAAGGCCTGGAGGGACAGGACACAGGGAATGGCTTTAAGCTGGAAAAGGGTAGATTTAGATGGGATATTGGGAAGGAATTCCTGATAGTGTGGATGGGGAGGTGTGGTTACTGCGCTGCAAAGAGAGAGAAAGGACAGCAACACACACGGAGCTCTTTGGGGAAAAAAGGCCAATTTATTGTCCAGCCAGCCCGGATTTAAAGTGTGTCAGTGCAGCCAGGACAGGACAGGAGCTCATTGGATAATTGGGACAAACATCCTTGGGACAGCACCTCAGGATGTGTCCCACGGGAAAGACACCAGGGGTTAATGTTTATGATGAATTCCTTTCTGTTTTTTACCAAGTTATCATTCTGGGAGACTCCTCCCTTAACTGAAGCTGCAGTCAGCTTGTCAGCCTGGGAATGGAGCTGAGAGTCAGGAGAAATCCAGGCCTGAAAGGAATTGCCAAGCTGCAATTTCCTAGCTCTCTAAATGTGTGTGTCCACAGGGAGGGGCTGGGCTGGAATTCCCAGAGCAGCTGTGGCTGCCCCTGGATCCATGGCAGTGTCCAGGGCCAGGCTGGACATTGAGGCTTGGAGCCACCTGGGATAATGGGAGGTGTCCCTGGCATGGCAGGGGATGGAATGAGATGAGCTTTAAGCTTTAAACCATGCTGGGACTGACGATTTGCACTCAGCTGAGGGTGTGTCCTTAACCTGCTCTCCCTCTCCCTGTTCCCTTCCGTCCTGGGTGGCAGAATTCCGACGCCGTGGTGAAGGTGGATGTGGTAAGTGATGGATCTTCTCCTCATCCCTGCTCCCTCTTCCAGCCCTTCCAGGCCACTTTCAATGGACCAGACACCATCCCCAGCCCAAGCCCGGCAGGGACATCACCCCTCTGTCCCACGACAGGGACACTGCAGTGCTGTCCCCTCAAGGGATGTGGCAGTGGCCGCATTCCTGCAGTTTGGGAAGCTCTTTTGGGCCAGGATTTCTCATCCCAGCTGTCCCAGGAGGAGCCAGACAGGGATGTGGGAGGGATGCTGGGTATTCCCACCACAGCCAGGTGCCAGGTGGGAGAGGTTCCCTCGCCCCACCAAGTGGACCCAGGGTGCTTTGCTGAGCACAGTTTGACTCTTGGCATGGAAGATTCCAGAGATGTAGCCTGGGAAATGCACAGATAAATAGGATGGTGTAAACGTGGGGGTGTCACGGGACTGCCCCATCTCTGGAAGCATCCAAGGCCAGGTTAGATGGGACTTGGAACAACCTGGAACAGTGGGAGGCATCAGGATTGGAATTGGGTGAGCTTCAAAGTCCCTTCCCACCCAAACCATTCCGTGATTCCAGCACTGCCTTCACAGCCTTGGTCAGCCTTGGCTGTTCTGTGCCTCAGTGTCTGAGGCTGTAAAAGGGAGAAAGTTCATGAGGCCCCCGAGCCTGGGGGGTTCTCCCTCCTCAGGTGCTTCACCCCCCACCTTTGTACCTCCAGAAACCATTCCCTTTCACCTGATCCCTCTCCTTCCCTGTCTGTGCTTCCCTTGTCCCTTCAGACCGAGGAAGAGAAGGAGAAAAAGAAGAAGAAGAAGAAAGGAGGAGGAGGAGGAGGAGGAGGGGAGGAAGTGGAGGAGGAGGAGCCGGACGAGAGCATGTTGGACTGGTGGTCCAAGTACTTTGCTTCCATTGAGACCATGAAGGAGGTGAGGTGATGAAGGGTGAGGGGTACCCAGGGCTGACTGTTCCCTTCCTGCGAGGTCTCCCCTAATTCCAGCTCCTTCCAAAGCCTTGGGGCTGTGTTCATCCCATGGAATCCCAAAATTGTTCAGGCTGCAAAAGCCCTCAGAGACCGTGGAGTCCAACCATTCCCAGGCACTGCCACGGCCACCACTGCCCCACGTCCCCAAGTGTCACATCCACAGGGCTTCAAATCCCTCCAGATTCAAACCCCACCCTTGCCCCGGGCAGCTTTTCCAGGAAAACATTGTTCCTAACATCCAGTGGCTTCCTTTCTCCCCCAGCAACTCCGGCAGCAGGAAGCAGCCGCGGCAGAGGCGGAGGAGAAGGAAGAGATGGAGATTGGAGAGGGTAAGGTGGGAGTGAGAGAGGGAAGAGGGCAGGGAAAGGTGGGGTCAGGATTCCTCTTGGTGCCTGGACATCCCTTTGGGAATCTGCTGCAGCTCTCCAGGCACTCCCAGTGTGGTTTTTCCCAAAAAAAAAAGGGTCGATTTTTGTGGGTTTTTCCCCTGCATGTTAAACTCTTTGTCTGCTCTCCTAAAACAGGCAGTGAAGACAAATACACAATTTAGGGCAAGTTCTCTCACCTAATTTATCAATTTATATCATTTTATATATTACTTTCACTTATTATCATTTAAAAAACTTACGAATGAATGATGCCCTAAATGTGTTTTTCTCTGGAGGAAGTCGGGTCCGTAGGTCAGGTGGGCTTCTGACCTTGCCTAAATTTAGGGGAGACTAATTTTGTCCCCAAAATGATGCCATCCAGGAATCCTGGGACTGGTTTTTCAAGGGTGACTTTGTCCATCTGGCCATGCCACCAGCAGGGCTGGGAGGTGTATCCCTGAGGAATTCCACCCTTGCTCTCCTAATGCCCCATTTCCCCATGGCAGGGGCTCATTATTGTGATGGAAAATCCTTCAGCTGAGTAAAATTCTGGTTTCTTTTGGAAGTTTAATTTTTATATCCCAGGGAAAATGAGGTCCTGTCTTGCTGAGCTTGGAGACAACTCTGAGCAGGTTTTTCTGGGCTTGCACTTGTGTCCCCCTTGGTTTTCTTTGTGTCTCTTTAGAATGATCCATTTCCCTTGGCTCTCCCATTCCCTTTCCTCATCCATGTGAAGTTTTTCCATCTCCCCCATCACTGGATTGTGTCCAGCCCTCATGAAAGCTGGCAGAGGCACCAAGGGACAGGGATTGCAGA